TTGAAAATATTGGAAAGCAAGACCTTTCCATAGTCCTCTAACTCACTCTCAAGCTAATGCTATTCAAAAATGGTATTTGATTAACCTCTTGGAACATTATTCAAATATGCCTTGAATGAATAAACTGATAAACTGGATAAAATTAATTGCTGGAGGTGATGAACTCTTGTGAATCACTGTAATTCATTCTTCCTGGTCTCTTAAGGGACATTAATCTGGGGGTATACAGACACCACAGCCCACAATACCAACTACTGGTTCTTGCTCAAAGCTGAACTTGAGAGAAGTAATCTTTCAGCACTAGCTTATGAACTGCAGCTATTAGATAAGCTTCAGCCTAATTGTTGCTTTGTTTGAATTTGGAACACACTTTCATATTCCATGTGGGCTTTGTGGATGTGTTTATAGATGTGTTTCTGGATTATCATTTCTCTTAGGATTTGTTGTGAGAATGAAAAATTGCTCTTTGTTTAGTGCTCAACAGTGTTGATACTTTTTAAGAAGGTATGCACCTGATCTTGACAGAAGATCTCAACTCAGAATACAAAGTAATCTGTAATTAATCTCAGCAATAATACAACCTTTCACTGGAATGTTGGGTATTGACCTGAGCGCCCCAAATTGAAAGTAACATTTAGCCTGTGGAGAAATCCCAGAAGAGTCACAACGATGGTGTTGAGAGATGGAACTAGAACCAATAAAGAGAAGACATAAAACCAGGGTGATTTCTGTTGGAAGAAAAAGACTAAGGGTAGAGTTAAACAATACTAGAATACTTCAAATACTAGAAGAATTATTATTAGCAAATTAGGCCTGGGTTGTGCTGTGTGTCATTGCTCAAAGGCCATTCATCAGAGAGGGGAATGGAATCTATAAGTGCTGTGGTTTTTCAGATCACTGGTCTGTGATCTCAGAAAACAGGGACACAGCATCTGAAGAGACTGCCTTTCCATGACCACTGACCCGCGAGAACAGAAACCCTTCGGCCATTTCATCCCAGCTGGCCCTTTTATAATCTGTTCATCAAAACCAGTCTGGGGCAACCAGGCCCTCAGAACAGCCCATCATAGTTGAATCAGTTTATCAGAACAGCCTGTGATAATTGATGTTCTTGGTGTTCATCACGTTCAGCCCCAGAGTTTGTGACCAGCTTCCCCATTATCTTCCCCTCGGTGCATCCTGGCCTGCCTAGTTAATATCTGATGGCATCAATGCCTGGCCTTCAGTCGGGCTTCATAGAGTAGGAACCTCAGTTCAAAGCAAGATTTTTAGAGAAAACACATCGTTAGTTGTTAGTGTGTCTGGGCAGCCTGTGCCGGGTGTACAGAGTAGATGCTGGGTCCGATGCCCTCTCCATCCTCCCAGCCCCCCGACATTATCATCCCAAGACAATGAATGGTATCTTGTCTTTTCATATATTCTATGGATGTAGGCAGGAAAAAATGCTGTAAGTTGCAACAGGAAACTTAGGGGAGATGGGAAGATGAAAACTTTCTGAAATGCAGAGTGAACACTGAGAGGACAGGTGGACTCTCTATATGGAGGTAACACTTGGTGGACAGTGGATGGAAAAGACATCACCATCAGTGCTGATCTCAAGCTGAGCCTTGTTCTCAAGGCCACGAGATATCATGGTTCTAGCATGGTTTGATTCTGTACTTTCAGGAGTCACTTTTATGATGATCTTCTCTGGGAAGCAAAGACACATTTCCCAGTAGGATTCTTAGGAAACAGTAACTATGTTTTATGAATGAATTATTTATAGCTGCACCAATAGTGAAATGGGTTTAAAGATAATACTATGTTCTAAGTGAGGATTAAAATTTCAGACTGAGGACAGATTTTCTTTAAACCTGCCAGATGAACAAAGCTTTTAGACTCGCTTTCTCTACACCAGTGACGTCCTTGTGATAACACCTTTCTAAGACAGATTGTTGTAAGCTTATTAAGAGGAACTCAAATTCTACAGGTTGGGAGTAGGGGAAACTTTTGTTGTTGCTTATACTGATTAGTGGGAATATCTCAGGATCTTTTTTCTTTATTGGCTCTTTTTTTTTTTAAAGATATATTTATTTATTCGTACAGAACTGGGGTACAGGCCAGAGATGCGGAGGGTGAGAGGATTCACCAGACACAGAGTGGGGAGCAGAACATGCAGATCAGCGAAGTACACTGCTGAGGGGAGAAGCGGGCGGGGCAGGAGAGGTCTGCCACGCCATGTGGCAGGTGGGATCAAACGCATGCGGAAGTGGCTTAAGCTTCTTAAGCTTTAACCCGCTGCGCCACCGGGGAGGGCCATATTGGCTCATTTTTTTATATAAGTATTCTTGCTATGTTTTGTATTGTCATAGGACATTGGGTTAGGATTTATTTTTAGAAGAAAAGAGAAACACAATAAAAAGCAAAAATGAAACGCCACCATCTCTGAAGGCCCTTCATCCTTTCTCCCACCCCCCTCTTCATCTCTGCTAACCTCAGTTCAGTCATCAGTATCTATAAAATTATTTGTATTTTGCTTTGTCAGTTTATCCACTTAGTTTCCTTCTAGTTCCCATATATGTGAAATCATGTGATATTCGGCTTTATCTTTCTGACTCATTTCACGTAGCTTCATTTCCTCAGAGTCCTTTCATTTTGCTGTGCATGGTAACATTTTTCCTTCTAGCTAAAGAGTATTCCACTGTGTCCACAGACCACATCTTCTTCATCCAGTCATCTGCAAGTGGGCACTTAGGTGGCAGCCATGTTATAGTCAATATATATAATGCCACAGTAAATACTGTGGAGCATATACTTTTTCAAGTTGATAGTTTGAGTTTGTCAGATAGATAGCCATTAAGTGTGATTCCTGGATTCTATCTTATTTCCATGTTTAGCTCATTAGAATATACAAACCAGCTTTTTTTTTTAAGATTTATTTATTTATGCATACAGAACTGGGGTACAGGCCAGAGATGCAGGGGTGGTGAGAGGCTTCACCCGAGAAAGAGTGGGGAGTAGAACAGGCAGATCGACAAAGTACACTGCTGAGGGGAGCAGCAGATGGGTCAGGAGAGTTCTGCCGCGCTTTGTGGATCATCTCCTGGGTGGGGATCAAACTCATGCTGAAGTGGCTTTAGCTTCTTAGTGCTGTGCTTTAACCTGCTGCACCACCAGGGAGGGCCCTACAGACCAGCTTTTAAAGATGGAAGCACCAATTCACATATCCCCAAACAGTGTGAGAAGATTCCTCTCACCGCACATCTCTCCATCACTGGCTAGGAGTCTTTGTTCTGTGCCATTCTCACAGGTGTGAGATGCTGTCGCACTCTGGTTTTGATTTGTTCGTCCCTTACTGGAAGTGGCGAACATTTTCTTTTCCCATGGGAAGCATTTCTAAAATTACTTTTTCACATGGTAGGGCAATCTTTGAGGAGAACCTGTTTTAATTTGACCCTCCCAGACAGCGCCACCTAGTGGGATTTTATGATTTACACATGACATTTGGAGCCAAACTCCTTCAATCCTGCTTGACTATTTTATTTGTAAAAATTTTTCAAAATTTTAATGATTTTGGTCTCAGCTACACACTATTCCTCCTATGACAGAATTGACCTCTACAAGGAATTTTATTTTTAAAACAAAAAACCAAAAATCCAACAAAATGAACTGTGACTTTAAACTTGATCTCATACTGTGAACTGAGAAAATTTAATCTCCCATAAGTAAAGATCATACCATCTGATAGTTCTGAAAATTAAATCTAATATGTCTCCAATGTACCAAGGTAAATTTCTTCATGTTCCAGCATCTTCCACACAGTTAAAATTTTTAAAGTTCCTTGAAATATGAACATTTATTTAAAACCCACATTTTGAAACTTAATTAGATCAGGTTTCTTTCTAATGTAGCCAACACCTTATCTAAATTGTTAAAAATTTATTGTGATAGCAAAGCAATTGTAGCTTGAAATGGCTGATTCTAAAGTTCTCAGTCCATTAACCCACAATGTCAAGTAAATAGCTAACAGTTGAGACTTAGTTTGATCTTCGCAAAAGTGCTAAGAACAAACAGTGGGGTAAGAATAGTCTCTTTCATAAATAGTGATGGAAAAAACTGGTTATCCTCAGGCAGAAGAAAGAAATTAGATCCTTAACTTATTCAATATACAATAATCTACTCAAAGTTGAAGATGTAAAGTAAGATCTGAAAGTGTAAAACTTCTCATAGAAAATACTGGGGAAAACTTCTTGACAGTGGTTTGGAGATTGATATTGTAGAGATGACTCCAGAGACAGCAAGAACAAAACCAGACAAAAGGTAATATGTCAAATTATAAAGCTTTTACAGGTAAAAAGAAAGAATCAAAAATTGAAGTGACAATCAATGGAATGAAAGATATTTCTAAACCATACATATGTTAAGGGATTAATGTTCAAAATGTATAAGGAATTGAACAAGTCAATAGCAACAAAGCAAGTAACCAAATTCAAAATTATACAAAAGACATGAAAAGACACTTCTGTTAAGAATACATACAGGTGGCCAACAGGTATATGAAAAGATGCTCAACACAGTAATTACCAGAGAAATGCAAATCAGAACTACAGTAAGATGAGCATGTGTTTATATGACTTATCAAAAGACAACAGATAACAAGCAGACTAAGATCTGGAGAAAGGGAACCCCTTTGTACCTTTGATAGGCCTATTGGGGTACTCATTATGGAAAACAGCATGATGATACCTCAAAATATTTAAAGTGAAACTGACTTCTATCTGGTCATCACATTTTTGGAGTTTTATCCAAAAGGAATGAAACCGGTATTTCCAGGAGGTATCTCCACTCTCCTGTTCATTGTGGCATTATTTATAGTAACCAGGACACGAGTCAACCTAAGTGTCTGTCTGCAGCTGAATGGCTAAAGAAATGTGATACACACATGTACACACACACACACACACAGGAATATTATTTAACCTTAAAAAAGGAGGACATTTCTGTCATCAGGGACAACAGAGATGTCCCAAGAAGGCATCATGATACATGGAGTAAGCTAGGATGGAAAGTCAAACACTGCATGATTATAACACTTATAAGTGGAATCTTAAAAAAAAAAAAAAGAAGTCAAATTTAGCCCTCCCTGGTGGCGTAATAGGTTAAGACACAGCACTGCAAACAAGCTGCAGCCTCTTCAGTGCAAGTTTGATCCCACCCCGGAGGTGACCACATGGCTCAGTAGATCTCTCTTGACTCACCTGCTGCTCCCCTCAGCAGTGTACTTCACTGATCTGCCTGCTCTGATCCCCACTCTGGCTCTGGTGAATCCTCTCACTGCCCCTGCACCTCTGGCCTGTACCCCAGTTTGGTATGCATAAATAAATAAATGAATATAAAAAAAAGCAAAAATAAATAAACTCATAGAGACAAGAGCCTATTGGTGGTTTCCAGGAGCAGGGCAATGGGGAAACAAGGGGAGGCTGGCTAAAGGGTGCCAAGTTGCAGTCATGTACGATGAGTGAGTCCCGCGTGATACTGCACTGTGGAAGGATTAGATTTAAAACCACTGAATTTCTTTTTTTTTTTTTTAAAGATTTATTTTTTTATTCATACAGAATTTGGGTACAGGCCAGAGATGTGGAGGGTGATAGGATTCACCAAAGACAGAGTGGGGAGCAGAACAGGCAGATCGGCGAAGTACACTGCTGAGGGGAGCAGCGGGCGGGTCAGGAGAAGTCTGCCGCGCCATGTGGTCACCTCCGGGGCAGGAGGGAATTGAACTCATGCAGAAGTGGCTTTAGATTCTCGATGCTGTGCTTTAACCCGCTGCGCCACCAGGGAGGACCAAAACCACTGAATTTTTTTTCATAAGTTATATACATTCTTGGTAGTTTTCTCCCTATAATTAGTTTGTAAGTCTTAAAAGTGATCATAAAAAAAATCCTTATCTTAATCCTTGCTATAAATACATTTTGATTGGGGTGTACCCAGTTCTGCTTTCTTTGATGGTTAAATGCTGTCTCTGAGATCTGCTGGGTAAGTATGTTTTCCCTATAAGCCTTTGTAAACTCTGCCACTGGTTTCCAGTGTAGTGATGTGGCTGACCAGGTTCTGACTTTCCCTTCCCTTATTCTAGATACATTTCATTCTATTGTTCAGTCGTCAAGGGAAATTACGGCTACAGAAATGGTACACCACTCTCCCTGATAAAGAAAGGAAAAAGATCACCCGGGAAATTGTCCAGATTATTCTCTCCCGTGGCCAACGGACAAGCAGTTTTATCGACTGGAAGGAACTAAAACTTGTTTATAAAAGGTGTGAGTAACTGTGTGAGAATTGCATTTCTCATAGCAGCTTTGGTTTGTGTTTTTGAACATTTTAGTTTGCAACACCAACTCCATCATTTACTGAAATTGTTGAAGACTGGAGCTCAAATATTTGTACCAATACACTAACTAGAAAAGCTCTCATGTATTGAGTGGCATTCCATGGGCCAGGGTGGATTCTGGCTATGCTTACTGTGGCTCCATGGTGGCATTCGAGAATGATCTAGTGAGCTGCAGTCATTCCAGCACTGTTTCAGTGGCTGTGGATGCAAAGCAGACAAGACGAAAGAACATGTCCTGCTCCCATGAAACTCATTTATTAAGCAGAGAAACATTTTCAGTTAGTAACACATTGTATGCAAAATAGGCATAGAGCTGAATAGCTCTTACTACCTATATGCAGATGAGGGGAGGGAAGCCACAGAGCTGAAATCATTAGTCCTCCTCATAACTGCCCCATTGTGCAGAATGGTAATTGGCAAAGCCCAGGTTCAAATCCAGACTTTCCTGGCCTTACAGCCTCTGAGTAAAGGCTCCCTCTCTCCCACTGTACCTGCTTGCCATGGGAAGTCCATACTTTCAGAATGGAACTTCTACTTAGAGATCAGGAAGTGGAAACCCCTCAGAGTTAGTACTTTTGCCATAATGACCCAGATAATCGATGCCTGAGCAGGGGCTGGGCACCCACTTGACCCTGCACACCATCGTAGCAGCTAGCAGCTTCTGGCAGGAAAACCCAGCGTGGAAAGGTACTGGCCGGGGTGCTGGGAAGCCTCAAGGGGAAGTTGAGGTGACTGACTGCCACAGACTCTGCCTTTAATGGAGTGAATGACTGGAAGTACCAGTGCAGAACCTCTCCTGCAGGGTCCAAGGTCAAAGTCTTTAAAGCTCCCTCTGGAGAGATGTCCTGGTGACTCTTTATGATGCTCATGTTGGGGACCCCAAGGCAAGGTTCCAGGAAGCTCTTGCCCATGAAATGCTTGTTCCTGTTACCTGCTGGCTTCTGCAACTGTGGGTTCATTGTAGTTTAAGCACAGGGTTTAGGGGTTCCTCAGCAGGGACCTGTGGCTACTGGGTGTACAAGGGTGCCAAGGCAGTCTCAGTGCCTGCCTCTGGGAAGACACGGCTCTGGTACCTAAGAGCCAGCTGGTCCATGAAATGGGCAGTCGGTGCTGTGATGAGGGAGAGGCGCAGTGGGCTGCCCAGCAGGGCCTTCCAGTCAGATGGGATGGGGGTTGCCTGGAAGGAGTGACATCTGAGCTCAGCGCTGTAGGAGAACTAGCCGCATGGATCGGGGTGCAGGTTATACTGCAGGCAGAAAAAACACACAGGAGGAGGGGCGATCCAGCCACTCAGGATAGGAGAGACCTGCAGGGTGATCGCAGTACAGTGTGAATGGAGGGCGACAGCACCCCTGCTTAACCTTTCCTCCACCCCAGAACGCAGGTCACAGGTTGGAGCTTAGAAAAACAGTTCACAGGCTGGGGTGGGGACTGATTGTGCACCTCGATTATCACGGGCCTGAGAACTCTGCTTCCTGGAAACTCTTCAAGGTAAAATTTTATTGAGGGCTTTTCACATGATTTACAGAAAGAATCCAGTTCTCACCATATGTTATGTACTCCACTTTATATTTTGGGAGAATATTGGCTGCCATGAATAAGCATTTCATTCTTGAACTTGGCTGAGGAGTCTCCGGGGAGGGGTGGTGACTGAATTCACTGGGGGAAAACAATGTTCAGGTCGTTTAATGTGTCATCATCTTTCTTTTCTTTCTTTCCAAGGTATGCTAGTTTATACTTTTGCTGTGCTGTAGAAAACCAGGACAATGAGCTCTTGACACTAGAGATTGTGCATCGTTACGTGGAGTTGCTGGACAAGTACTTTGGAAACGTAAGTGCTATTCTGGCTTCTCAGAATTAGCTTCATCTCCCTTCTGTCTCTGGCCACATTCTTTCTCTCCCTCCAGCCTAAAATATGAACTGCATTTGTACCAAGCATCAGCACACACGCTTCCCCTGCTTCCTGCGACACGTTGGCAAATGAAAGACGCCAGGCTGCCCAGAGGCATCTACTGTGACCTTGTGCCAACGAGTGAGAAAGGAATCGGAAAGGATTCCTTAATAGGGTGGGATTTCGTGGGCTTTTTCTTCTCCTATTTTGAATTATTTCCTCTCTGGCTTTTGATTCAGCTACATGTGCGTCCTTTTTTGCGGAAGCAATGCTGAAGCATGTCGAAGTCTGGCCTTCAGGGTTCAGTGTAAGTGGCCTCTATGGTTGCTACATCTGGATTCCCACAGACGTCTAGTTTCCGTGCGCCACCGTACAGGGGCGCCTCTACCCAGTTAGCCACCCCTTCTCCCTCTTTCCCCGCTGACCTCCATTTTGTTTTCATAATCTAAGAGTTGGTTTTAGTTTTATTTGTTCACTTCTTTTTCTTTTCTTTTCGGGTGCACAGCTTTATATTTCAACATCATGCGTGTGACATTGCGATGACGACCGAAGTCCTCCTCCCCATTTTACCTTCCTTCCACCTGCCCCTCCCCCACCCCTCTTCTGTGGTAACCACAATTGTCAGAATCTATGGGTTTGTTTTTGTTTTATTTTGTCACTACAAGAGTTCTCTGCTATTACTTATATGTAGTTAAAACCCAGCAAACACACAAACAGAACCAGTATCTGTTATATTCACACGCTCACCATGTGCTTATCGCTAAGTAAGACACCCCATGAGGTGTCCCCCCAACCCCCCATCTTCAGAGCTCACTCACTGCCTAGCAGCTTCAGAGAAGTCTTCCACACCACAGACTCCTCTCCCCAGCAGTCACCACCAGCGGCTCTTCTGGAACCTCCTCCAGCTGTCGCCTTTCTGCACCCTGGACCCTCACCTCACAGGCTTTTGCCTGGACGCTGAGTTCTGCTGATTTGTGCTGAGGCTCTCTTCTCCTCCCCTTGCCCTCTAGATGCCCTCTGGCTCCTCCTCTCCAGTGTGTCCACTTGCCCTTCTCTCTTGAGAATTCCTTATGACTTTCAGCTACTGCTTGAAGATGGTCGCCCCTGAGCTTCCCACTCCATCTTCGTCTTCAGGTGTTAAGCATCAAGTGCCTCATCTTTTGAAATCCTGTTCTGCCTTGTGACTGGCTGTAATGTCCCAGGGTCCTTGAAGGCACAGGGGCCAGGCTGCTTTCAACCTTCCCTGCCTCCAGCAAAATCCACCTCTTTGTCCAGCGGGACCAAGTTTCACCTGCCTTCCACGCCGTGGGCTGGCTTTTCATGAAGCCTCCTTTCTGCCTGTCATCTCTGCTTTCCCTTCCTTGACCTGTGAGCTGCCACCTTCCTTAACAAAACTCCCATCTAGGAGGACTGTCCCTTTCATCATCTGTTAGGAATAAAATCCAACTCCTTAGCATGGTGTGTGATTGTTCCGTTCACTGGTTCCAGATCACATGTTCAATCCCTCGCTGTCTGTCCCTGACTTAGCCAGTGTTCCAGAAACAGAACAGCCCATGCTGTCTCTAACCTGTACAGGATTTGCTGGACCACTAAATGGCAAGCGTTTGGAGATTATTACCTGGACTTGTTGGTTGTTTTTAGCACTTGTAACCAGCTCTGTGTCAGATTGTAGCAGATGCTGCAGGAACATCCAGTCTAACTCACATGCTCAAGAAATCATATCTGGTGTTGGTTCCCCTCATTCACGTTCTTTTCCCAATTCCCTACTCACTGAAGATTTTTATCAAGTGTTGTCAGGAGAATTTGCTTCCAGAGGCATTTTCTGTACTCTGCGTAATGGAACCAACAGTGTTGCCAATATTGCTTGGGGTTTTATCCATTTGTTGTGACATTCCTCTCAAGGCTGAGGACTTAAAAGCGTTCTGAAAGGGCTTCCCTCCCTCCCCCTCCTTCATTCTCTTCATCCCTCCCTTTTATTCCCATTTTTTTTTTCTTTACAAATGATGTTAAAAGTCCTGAAATGTTGCTTGAGGGATTTCAGTGGTTGGCCAATATACAAATAAGACACCATCCATTTTTCTTGGTTCATTAAACTTATTCTTTTTAAAGAGAGAGCTGCAAATACATAACAGCATATTCTTGTGGCGTTTGAGATTAATTTTATGCCTTCTCAAGTGAATTCTGATATGTTGAAGCTGTGTTTTGAAATAAATGGCAGCCTTGACCTTGTACTAAGGCCTGAAGGAGTTTTGTAAGGTTTCACTTCAGTCTCTCTTCCCGTCATCTCTGTTGGGCCCTCTGGTTGGGCCTATTGGGCTTTCCTAGACTAATCGAGTTGTGATAGTATGAATTGGGGCTGAAATTTGATCTCAATCTTATCTGGCCTTTTTTTAGACATTTCAGAACACATTACTTTCTTGAGAATTTGAATCATCACCTGTGCTAGGCCCAGTTAAAGTACAAGGAAATTCAGAATGAATTCTTCTATCTGACATTAATTTTTCATCCTATGTTGGCATACCTTTAGAAGCTCTGTCTTTGTCTTGAGCCAAAATTTAATTCACTAAAAAATTCAATGAATCTTTCATTAAGCTAAGAGCAGCTAAGAGCAATTCAAGGCTATTTGCCCAGCAGGTGTTTGGTTCTTATTAATTAAAAGTGGTGAGCAAAGCCTTCCATTACCGATTCTCGTTGACATCATCTCAAGAATAATATATTTCTCTTTGGTTTCTTTCTCCTCTTGTGTTAATACTGAAGGTTTCCTTGAATCATGCCCTTCTATTATCCAAAAGAAACCTTTGTACTAATCTTCTCTTTTAACACTGGAAAATATTTCTTTCCTATGACAGATGAATCAAAATCTCTGGCTACTAATTTATGTATTTTTTTAAACACTTTTCAATTCCAGAGAGATTTGTAAGGATTAACTAGTTAATCTTTTGATCTTTAGTAAGTAGCATTAACCCCAATTTATAAAGGCTGGGAGGGGCCTCAAAGTCTCCCAAAGTTGATAAGGGCCCATTGAGAGTTAGACACCTCCCTCTTTCTCCATTCCGGAGGGTTGTGTTCCAAGTTGTTGTTTGTGCTGCTGCACTTAGAGGGTGGATGTTGCTGTCCTGGGGGGGTCTTAACCTTGATGTAAGGGTCCCTCAGTTGTGAAAGGAGGAGTCCTTTGAACCCCTGAACCCCGCTGGATGCTGGTTTCCACCAGATCCAGGAATTGGGTCATCATGGATCTTTGTTTACAGATAAGAAAAATAACATGCAGAAAGGTTCATAGAAGGCTTTCCTTTGCAACCTCCCAGGGTTATAATGAGGCTCAAAGAGAGAGTTCAATGAACTGTACTTTATAGACCATCAATTGCTATGGAATTATAACCTACATTATGATGATTCCTTTACCTATAGCATTATACATTTATAATATGTAACTTGAACTCTTACTGTTTACTGTAGAATAGAATTCAGGGAGGCATTCATCAAAAATAAAATTAGTTATTCAAGTGCTCACTCCATCAGGGATTCTGCTATAAAAGAACACCTGTAAGCCAAATTCTGGTAAGGCCCAGGCTAGGAGATCAAAGACTGAGTGAAGCCATCACCGCTCCTGCCTGTGAACAGCTTGCTTCCCGAATGCAAACACAAGAGCTCATGGAGAAACATCTCGTAAAGAGGCTCCCATGTACTTGCTGATGAGATGAAATGCAGCCAGTAGAGCATCAGGGACACATTTCTGATGTACGGGGACTGCCCCTCCAAAGTGGAATCAGAAGGAGCTGAGCAATTAGGCTGGAGCTAACGAGACCAGCATGTGGTCTAAGGTGCGCCTGAGACGCTTTCTGTTCTTACTGGTAGACACTATGACCCGTTGGGGCCAGACTCATATAGCCATAGAGTGGCATTTGGGAGTTGCTGTCTGTGAAATAGTTGCTCACTGGTGATACTCACCTCATGCTTTCACAATGGTTTCTCTAAGGATCTGAAGATAGTAACTGTATATCCTAACTGCCTACTGTGTGTGCATGTGCGTGTGCACATTCGCGCGTGTGTAGCCTATCTGGCTTTGCACACCCTCTTTTCTTATCCCAAACCCATGAAACTAGGTACACTCACTCATGGCCCCACGGCTGCTGGTGAGCCTGCAGACTTGGGTTGGGTTTCTGCTGGGAGAGTGGGATTTGAGAAGCTCCCAGCGACCTTGCATTAGTGTCTGTTAGGTTCACTTTGCAGGATTCTGAGTGCTGGCTTCTCCTAACGAGGCTCCTGTCTGCCTTGGATTCCTGATCGGCACCTGCCTTGAACTCTGAGGCTCCTCAGCTCCTGCTAGTCTAACTCCTGACTTCCTGCCTCTTCTGACCTCTGGTAACTGCTTCCTTCTGGTCCCTTCTTTCATGTGCATGAATTTTTGACTTCTGTGTGCTCCTTTTGTTTATATTGCTCGAAATTGCAAAATAATTTTTTTTTTGCCGATTTTCGACACATGCGGTTTTTCAATTAAAAATGTGAGGTTGCAGGCCCTCCCTGGTGGCGCAGCAGGTTAAAGCACAGCACTGAGAAGCTAAAGCCACTTCCGCATGAGCTCGATCCCTGCCTGCCCCAGCGGTGACCACATGGGCGGCAGACCTCTCCTGACCCGCCCGCTGCTCCCCTCAGCAGTGTACTTTGTTGATCTGCCTGTTCTGCTCCCTACTCTGTCTCTGGTGAATCCTCTCACCCCTCCGCATCTCTGGCCTGTACCCCACCCAGTTCTGTATGAATAAATAAAGAAATCTTTTAAATAATATGCATGATGCATATTATTCTTTAGTTTTCTTTTATGTGTCCTTCATATTATCTTGGAGCTGTTTCCATGTCTATCTGTGGAGATCTGTCTCCATTTTTTCCAAACTGCACAGAATCCTCACAACCTGCCATGTTTTGTTTAAGTAGTTTCCTTATGGATGGATTCAGAGCTGTTTGCAATTTTTGTTATAAATGATGCTGCTATAACCTTTGTTGTTCCTGTAGTTAGAATTACACACTATTTTAAATATAGCATAGGGACAAATCCCTTGTGGAGACATTGGGTCCAAGGATTTGTACATTTAAAATTGACAGGTACTATATTTAACCCTCCAAAATGGCCATAAAATTTGCAGATTCTATCAACAGTGCGTGTGAGTACCTATGTATCCATATTCTCACTATCAATGACTACTATTACTATATTATTACTTTAATTTGTATTTTCCTGATTACTAGTGTGACTATATATCTTATTAGATGTCTACTGGCCTTCACCATGAATTTTTTTAGATTTATTTTTTTTATTTATTCATACAAGGACTGGGGTGTAGGCCAGAGGTGGGGGAAAGGGCTGAGAGGATTCACCAGTGACAGAGTGGGGAGCAGAACAGATAAACTGACTGAAATCCACTGTTGAGGGGAGCAGTGGGGAGATAGGAGAGGTCTGCTGTGTCCTGTGGGTCAGCTCCCTGGCTGGGGATCAAACTTGCGATGTGGCTGGTGATAGCTTCATAGTGCTGTGCTTTAACCCTTGCGCCACCAGGGAGGCCCTAAACTGTGTATTGGCTGCCTTTGTTATTCCTTTGTGTGTGTGTGTTGCATGATATTCAACTTAGGGATTTGCAAGAATTCTTTCTGAAGCCTATGCTATCGCCTGTCTCTCTATTATATATGTTGCAAATATTGTCCCCACTGTTGCTGTACTTTTTTCAGTGCTTGGCTCACACTACACTCAGGCCTCTCTACAGGTTCTCCTAGGGAACTTGGTTCCACTGTCATTCAAATTCCTAGAAAAAAAGACAGAGCTATAGAAGTAAAAGTAAAAGAAGGGGTTCAAAAGCTGAGAACATGCCCTTTCGTGATCCATCTACATTCTGGGGTTATTCTCAAAAGCGAACCATAAAGATCGGGAAAATGCTGGGTTGTAATGTCACATCCCTGTCTTATTTTACATTGGATATATAATCAGTTCCCTCTTTGAGTCTCTCTCTTTGTCTCCCCTTCTCAAAGGAAGAGGCAAGAGATATATGTAAACACACTTATTCTGATGCTCTTTTCTAGTGAATGAAGAGACTATAACCCATGTAGATGAGTTAGAGGATGTATTTGTTTTAGCTGACTTTATTACAGTGGTATTGTATTCCTTTTTTTTTTTTTTTTACGCTTCTAGATTCAATTGGATCTGTCAACATAAGCCATTTTCCTTGTGGAGTCTGCAAGTGTGTTGACCTAAATCCTAAATATATGAAGCAACTTGCTAAAATATTGACATCTACTTTATGTAAAGTTATAAAATTCAGTAGGATCAGAGAATTGTTGATCTGGAAGTCATGAATCCCACCCTCATAGCAACAAGTCTATCTGATGACTGGCTCATTTGTCCTGCAGACATTGATCGCACCATACTGTGTGTGGGGCCCGTGCCTGAGCTCACAGTCAGAGGCATGACTGATAAGAGTGTGTGCCAGTGCACACCAGGTCCAGGGTCGTTTGCAGAGCAAGTGATGTCAGGTCTGAATGGAAGGAAAGTGGATTTGGAGGAATTGTACTTTTGAACTTGGCTTTGAAAAATGAGCTTGGTTTTGCCAACAGCCTAACAGAATGGGACTTGGAATTTCGGGAAAGGCCAAAGACATGAAGACTTGGGTGGGTTTGTGCGGCCATGATTTGGGTTGAGTGTGACCCAGGGAGCAGGGCCTGGGCTGGGCTGTAAAGATTCCTATACATGCGGAGAAATTCCAACTTTGTCCTGAACATCAACCTTACAAAGGAGCGGATCAAGGTCACTGAGTTAAGTAGTGTGAGTGGCTGCTGGCCTCAATGGGCACAGGCCATGCAGAAGGACATTGCAGTGACCTAAGCCCCACAGACCTGAGCAGTGAAAATGGAGAAGAGGGAGGGGAACACTTAAGGGTGTACTTATATGATGGAACCTGCGGGAACTGTGACTAAATTAGGGAGGGGCAAGACCAAGGGGACAGAAAGGAATGGGGTGGGGGGGGGGGGGGAGGTGCGGCAGGGAAATACACTGAACTGGAGAACGAATTCCACTGAGTAAGTAAGGTTGCAGCCACAGCAGTGCAGGGACTAAAGGAGAGAGTTTGGGCCACGTGTCTTGGATGGAAACGCAGGCGGCTGGGGCTGTCGGCTTAGTAGGTTGGCGCTGCCAGGGAGATCAGGGCGGGACATCTGTGTTGTCAAGCCTCTTGCAAGCTAGACTCAGCTGTAGAGCGTCAGTGAGATTGTCGAGGAGAGTATATGTTTGCAAAGAGAGGAGGTTCTCTTGAGAAACACCCATATGGAAGAGACGGAGCTCCCGGGTGAGCCACAGGCAGCTGAAGCATTTGTTCTGTGGACTGATCTGCCGCCAGCATCCACAAGTGCTGCGTAAACACATGCAAGGTGGAGGGACCTGCATTGAGAATGAGTCTGAGGTGCAGTCCCCAGCACCCTGCCTGGTGATGTCAAAACCCAGACATGGGAGAAGGGAGGCACAACAAGAGATGAGCAGGGGTCTGCGGTTCTGCCAGGGTGAGGTGGAGAGGCCGGGGGGCTCCACAGCAGCCCTTCAAGGGGGTGCAGGCAGGGGAGGTTACTCAACTTGAGTTGAGGGAGACATGGGGGGGAGAATGCTGAGGAGAGAGGAGACTGGTTGTTGTCAGTTGCAGGTTTAGGAAGGAGACCTACTTGGGTTACGGGACCAGGCTGCCACTCGTGACACTGGCGCAATCCAACTTGCCTGCTGATCTGTTGGCCCTAGGGCACGAGCTCTCTGTGGGTAGGTCCCTGATGTGGTCCCCGCCTGGTGGGCGTCGCCTGGGAACCAGCTTAGCCTCCCCTGCCTGACCTGAGGTGCTGAGTCAGAGGCTCAGGTCAGGACCAGCAGCATATATTGTAAATAGCGCTCTGGGCAATTTGGATATATGCTGAAGTTTGAGAACCACTGGTTTGTGACATAATTTTGAGAAAAACGAGCTAGCTCCAGCTGAGCTAATTTGCCTTGGATGTGAGAGCTCAGAATCTTGGGGCTGGAAGCCAAGATTCACAGAACAGAGAGAAAGAGAAACCAAGTCCCGGCCTGGTGCCTGAAATGTAGGGGGAATGGTAGAGGGCTGGGGGCTTGGGGCTTGGGGTGCATCATTCAGCTAGAGAGGTGCAATCATTCCTGCACTGACTCAACATTTCTTGAGACATGAAACATTATTGTTTCTGGTCATGCTCTGCTCTAACAGAAGTGGGATAGCTTTGATGAAAGGCCTGGAATTCCTGATTCTATTTTCATGTCCTTAGGTGCCATCTGCTATTTTGATCTTTGGGATGCTACATGGGTATAACTGTTGAAAAGACTCGAGAATCTTCCCTGCACATGTCTTTCCTGCTGCTACTGCAAGTTTATTAACACATCTGTTTTTGGTCCTACCAGGTCTGCGAGTTAGATATTATCTTTAATTTTGAAAAGGCATATTTTATCCTGGATGAGTTTATAATGGGTGGAGAAATTCAGGAAACATCCAAGAAATCTGCCGTCAAAGCCATTGAAGATTCCGACATGTTACAGGAGGTCAGTACAGTTTCTCATGGGGTGGGAAAGGATGGTGGTGATGATGATGGTGGTGGTTTTGGTTGTGGGGCAGTGGTGGTGGTGGTGTTGATGGTAATGATGGTAGTGGTGATGGTGGTGGTGGTGATGGTGGTGGTGGTGATGGTGGTGGTTGTGGTGATGATGGGCTAGTGTTGATGGTGGTGTTGATGGTGATGATGGTGGTGGTGGTGGTG